GTTCAGACTAGGCTGGGTTACCCTGGTTATACCACCCTTTGGGATGACTGGAGTCAATGTAAAAAAAAAATACCTGGGGCGGAGGTACAATTTTATACTAAACCATGTCCATTCGGCATGTAAGTGAAACTGTTAAAAGCCTTCATCAAACTGATACCATGTCCTCCAGATGGTCCTGAATGCAGGCAGCCAGAATATGATATTTGGACACAGTTTGTGTTTGCAGAGCACATGGTTTCAAGCCAAGAATATTTCAGTGGCTGAATGGCCAGAGTTCATTCCAATCCTGCCAGGGTATACAGCATCCTCAGTCAAAAATGGACTAAACATAAAATAGAAGATTTTTCAACACAGCAGAATGTGAGTTACAAGCCAACTTTTATCACAGAAGGTGGGAAAATGCATTCAGATTAAGATTTTAATGAATTTTAGCTCTCAAGGGAGAATCTTTTTTGAAAGTGGTACAATGCAAAACTAACCCTAACCCACTGGGTTTTATTTAATTTTGTTTACCCATTTTCATCACACCTCATGAGCCGAACCCCCTGTTCTGTTTCATCATTGCTGTTTGTCTGACTGCACATATTATATCAGATATGAGCAGAGCTCACAGCAGTAGTCAGATTATTGCAACTGTGTCTCACGAAAATGGAAAGTTGCATCAAGAGGACAACACGTCATAGCTACCTTGATAATTGTGCAACACAAAGCAGTAATCTTATTTGATGTTTAACAAACTAAAATTTCCAATACTATATGCAGTATGTCACTTGTACGTATGATGAGGTGAGATTTCGAAGTCTATTTATTCATTTTTACAATCTCCACCCTTCAGATTCCACAAACTCATTAAGACTCTTTAGTAATCAAAAATGGGAATAACATAGAGAAAGATGTAAACACATGAAAGCTTGTACACTTTACCCACATTTACCATCTAAAGATTCTCTGAAGTCCTTTTAATGGATCTCATGGATTCACTGTAAAATAAGTAAACCTGACCAGTATCATTCCTTTCCCAGTTCAGGATATTCAGTAACAGGACTGAGTAGGACTCTACATTTATTTGAGTGCAAACCTACAGCAGCCTTTACCACAAATAAACTGATAATACTAATTATAACACATATATGAAAATACTACACACCTATGAACTATTATCAAATCATCAACTGTTGTACAATGAGAGAGTACGATGCACTACAATTTAAGCCAGTTTCAAAAAGAAAACAGAGGAAATACAATACTGCAATAAATTACATTAAAAAAAAAAAAAAAGAAAAAATCAAACCCCAATTCTAGAGAAAGCCTGAATCAGGCTTATAAAATATTACTGAGAAGGTTGAACATTGATACTTCTTTTTATAATCTGGGAGATTATTAGTAATGTTTATAAAATCTTGAGTTAACCAGATGAATTGATATATAGGTAGGAAAAAAAAATGCTGGCTTCGGAAGTGGAAAAAATTACCTATGGGATTAAAATTACTCTGTAGTTAATTATACCATTCTACTTTTAAATTCATAACTGTGTTTGCATTTACTTGTTCTCATTCTGTCTGGCACAAGACTTTTGTCTCTCTGCAATTTACTTTAGCAAAAGCTTAGGTGGTGTGAAAAAACCTTTATTAGAATGGAAGACAGAATCCACAGAAAAAATTTAAAAGGCCTAAACTGGGTGATGAGTCATTGGCATTAGCAAAACTTGCTCTTAATACTGTTGAGGAGGATGTTTTCAGGAAAAATTCAGGACATCATTACAGTGATTTGCAACACACTGCACATTAGTCTCTAGGCCTGAATGACCACTTTATCTTGTATTTCAGAAATGTGAAGTTATGCTCTTGAACTGATATTCTGTGCATGTTTCAGTGAACTTCTTCAGGCAAGTCTTACTGAAGAGTGAGCCAGGACAGCTTACTTTGCAATTTAGAAACAGTGATCACAGTTGAGAGGTCAAAACTGTAAGCATAGTATTAACACTGTTGCTATAGAAGTGCTTGTGTTGAATAATGAAATGAAATCCAATTGTTCATCCCAAATAAAAAACAGAAGTGCAAATGGTATCAGCTGATGCTTTGGTTAACACCAAGAGAATCACTTCTTTATTTGAAAAAATTATATAGTATGAAGATAGCTGACTAATTAATGTGCTTAGGATAGCCCAAAGAGATCTAAAAAAGAAGTAATTACTTTATTCTATTATGTTTCTAGCTTTGGAACTAAAAAATAGTTCTCTCTCTAAAAAAAGTAAAGTTGGAAGCATGATTTTAGTGTTGTCATTTAGCAGGCATTAAGTGTCATAAAAAGTATTGCAAATTATCAGTCATTTTAGGAAATCAATTCTTTACTCATTAAGGACAATTTTACTCACAGAAATTCTAGGGTTTTACTCAAGGACCCAAAATAGTAAAAATCCCTGATAAGAAATCATTATAGGCCAATGAGGTACTTTCAAATGGTACTGCACGATACAACTTTTTTCTTTTTTGAAATTAAGTATATTTGGTTGAAAGCAGCAACTAATCTCACTGCTTAACTCAAAGCCACTTTTGAAGCCAGCCTATCACTTTCCCTGTTATTAGTACCTTATGTAGTGAAAGACTACTAGTGATGTTTCCACATCATGAATATAAAATGTTCAGTTCAAAATTAGGTTTGAGATAAACCTGTAAGAGCATTGTCTCTCCCTCATGCTTGACATTTCTTCTCATTATATTTAACATAAATATTTTTCTTGATATTGTTTTATATGTAAGTACATCTGTATTTCGGTATGCCTATCTGTACATTCATATATATTATACATATATTATATATATATACTGAGAAAGAATGCACATATTTTTAGAACACTTCTTATTTTCCTGTAAATAATATTACCAGATTGTTTTCTCTTATATTAAAACACTAGAATCTTAAACCAGAAGTATTCCCTCAAGGTCACCAGTGGGTTACCTTTGGACATATTCTCTCACTATTAATTATCAGTTAAATGTGATACTAGAAAAGTAATGCTGTGAATAGCCTTTGTTATTATCTTCCTCCTATACTGAATAGCAGCAGTACTTCAAGATTTGTGAGATCAGACATTCAAAGGAAAAGATTTGCAGAATAAGGTTTTGCACTTCCAAATTTTGCTGAAAATCTTTTCATGTTTTTTATAAATATTCATTTTCTGGAAGAAAGAAAGAAAGAAATAAAAAATTTTGCACTATTTCTGTTGCACAGGCATTCAGTAACCAGAATGGGAATCCAGGATGTGCCATACGCCACAAAAAGCATTTATATTTTGTTTCTCTGATCTTTAGCATCTGCAGAACTCAATGAATGGCAGAATCACTTAGGCTGGAAGGAACCTCAGGAGTACACCTGAACAAACCCCAACATATGCTGAAAGCAAGCCTGAGATTCTCTTCATGCCAGTGGGGCAACTGATACTACATAGACTACTTCCTTCACACCTTGCTAAATGTGTCAATATCTTCATGCTACGCACTGATCCAGCCAGGAACATTTCATTCAGGCTTGCTGTGATACAGCATTGCCCCTGGTTATAACCACTACTCATTTTGGAGTTTACTTGGACAAAAGGTTACAAGATCTTAAAACAAGTATTGGTTCAGAAGACATTTTCAAATTTGATAGCTGACCCCATAAAAATGTTGTTACACTTGTTACTCTAGAAATAAATGCAGTTCAAGAAAAACAACCATGATGTACAAACTCTGAATGTAAGTATTCTATATACAAACCACTACTAAACTTGGTTAAGAGCACTATGCCCTAAGAGGGCAGGAGATATCTTTCCTTGTTGCTGATTAATTTCCTGAATTACTTTCCTTAGACCCGAATGCTTATATTCATTTTATTATTATTATGCATTTCTTTTATTGGTATGGTTTATTATAGTGTGTATTTAAGGACCCTATTACTCTTTCATGTACAGTAACACAACTGACATAAAAACACCTTCTCTTCCTCACTGCAGAAATGCTATTATAAAATGAATCATTATATTGAAATATTTAAGTACTGTGCACAGGAGACTTGATACAGTGTTTCCAACATACTGGTATAGACAATATTCACCAGGTATGAGATGAAAATGGGTTATCAAGTTTGGGTATTACATTTCAAGTAAAATAAGGGCCCCCTGAAGTAAATGCAGAGGAAAAAAACAAGCACAGTCTGCAACCTAGAAAAGCACGAGGCTAAACATGGTGCCAAGCAAATGTGCTTAATCCCCATTGCACCAAAGCAGGAAAAGAACCTGATGAGTTCAAAAGATCATATCACTGGCTTTGAGTCCTTGAAAGAGCAGGACATGCACTGAGGTTCACAATGCAGCACTGTCTTTTTTTGAAGGAAAGGATACATGAAATTGGTTGACTTACTCTAGGGAAGAGAGGTAACATACAGAAGCTTTCCACATAAAGACAACTCATTTTCAGATATGGAAAAGAATGCCTCAGAAAATAAAAGAACAAACTAATCCCCATATCTGTGTCCACCAAACAAAAGACTCTACTTTTGTCAGCTAAGAACCTGAGTTGATGTTGCAAGGCTGTGCCCACACACATGCAAGATTTCTACTTCTCCTTACAGAAGAGCCTCTTTGTTTTCCAGACCAGTTCTCCAGCTTGCCAAGTTAAGTCTGAGGACTGACATGGTCTCCCAAAGGTTACTTTTGCTAGGTAAATGTCAATGTAATACCTAATTAGGATAGACTATACTGATTTAGATCTTGTGCTATCTTCATCATAATAAACATTACAAATCACTCTCTGCTGGTATCTAAGAAACTTAGTCATACCATACAGCAGTGAATTACTGTGTATGGAAAATACATATTTGGTTTGTATTTTTTGTATCCTCTGCATTATTAAAGTTAAGAACATCAGTAGATTTCCTGTGTCATAGTTTTGTTTCTGCAGTAAAAAACGATTCCTGAAACTATTACTTAGTACAGTACTACATAAGTAAATAACATAAGTTACCTGCTTGGTCTTTAAATATTTTTGATATGACGACAGGCACTTTGTGCTCAGCACCACCCTGTAAGAGAGGCATATTAACCATGAGATCTCAAGACTGAAGTGGTCATACCGAAATTAAAAGAAGAAACGAGAAGTTACCCATACCTTTATGCTTAAGCCCAAGCCACCAACTGGTTGTCTACGAAGTGTAACAGTTCTGTGCTTTAAAAAATTGTAGAAAAAATAAATTAAGGTGAAAATACAATATCTGAATGATCACAGAAGATGTTCCTAGGCCCTCATTTACTTTTTAAAAATTAATTCTCAAAGGCAACCTAGAATTAGAGCGATCAAGTTCAGTTTTGAAGTATCATGCAACACCCATTCATAGGCATTACTTAATTCCTTACTACAGAGAGCAGACTTTTAGTAAGTTTTTCTATCCCTGAGAAATTTTTATAAACTTTTACTTTGTTTTGACATGGAAAAACTACAGGAAGATCTCTGAGATGTGCATTTTTATAGCTATCATGTATGCATGATGCATATTCCAATTTTTCAATCAAAAATGTCAGTGTTTCCTAATTTATATATCCAGATTTCTACCTTTCTTTTTTTTTTGCAGCATATGCCGAAAGATTTCTAGTGATAGTCTGCTTCAAATAGTTAATTTTTTGCATTTCATATTTGACTGCACAAAGAAGATAAACATTTATCAATATTTTTCTAGAGAAAACTATCATATGTTTAACAGTGCGCTGAATTTGAGATTTCAATAATGTGTAACTCATGGTGCCTGACAATATAATAACAGCACTTCATCTGTTGACAATAATTATACACTTGATGGGAACTTTTTCTGGAACATGATGAACAGTACTGAATAGAATACCATCTTTCTAGTAATTTCTGAACACATAATAATATATTTTTTCTTTTTCTTTACATCAGAAATTATATATAAATACTCCCATATGTATACTCTCTGATTGAGTATTTTATGATTTCACTGATTCAGATAAATGGTTATTTTTATTTCAGTAATCAAGACCATAATCATGCATTAACAAGTTATTTTAATATATGTAGTGTTTTGTTTTGTTGGGTTTTTTTTTTTTTTTTTTTTTTTTTTTTTGGTAACATTCACCTTGCTAGATGTATGTTCATATTGACTCAGGGGAAAACAAAACATAATAAATCATAAGTTTCAGTTTCATTTTAGGAGGGTAAAAGTAATCCATATACTAAAAAGAGTTAGGAGTAGCTTCATACATTTTCAAAATTGCTTCTCTTCCCATGAACACTGTACTACACTAGTCTGTGCTTAAAATGGAAAAAAAATGGAAAACTATTGCACTATGACTCATGATACCTGCCATATCAAAAGGTACCTGACATAATTTCAGGGTATATAATTCAGTTTCATTAAAATTGAATTCAAATTGTTTTATAGGTTCTTTTCTTCATTTGGAACTGCATTAAAACTTTTGATCAAAGTTATCATACTCACTGACAAAGTTCAGATCCAATCTGAATTAGAACACATCCCTAACTTTAAATTCAGTGACTCATTCCCAAGAGTAATTTTCTATGACATGACTTCTGTCTGCTTATTTAATTCATGTTTTACTCCACCTATACTTGCCCCCTGAAAACATATTAATGTAATATATCCTATCACACAATGACGATGGAATAAATATTTCATCAGTGTAGTTTGCTTTAGCATGGTCAGACAACAAATAGAAAACTGCTACATGGATAGTTTTAGCCATTTAAAAAAAAATCCCACAAGCAAGGTATTACTTATTGGAATCTTATAAACTGAACTGTAACTAACATGCTTTTTTTTATATGGTTTGTAGGCAGCTCTATGAAGTAATAATTTTAAAGGGGAAAAATGTTATGGAAAATACCCTTCAAATGACATGAATGCTTGCTCTGAAATTTCCAGTCTTGATGACAGAGTATGACTGTTGTAATAAGTCATAAGGAAGTGATCTGATGTCCCACAAAAACTTAAACAAGTAAAACTATTCAAAATAGTACGGTGTATTTTAAGCACATGTAAGCTGGCCAGATAGAAAATTCCAAATCAAAATTTAATTGAGATAAGTCTACTATTTAGTGGAAATGCTTCTTGTAGGATAGTGACAATGCCTGGATTATTATTTAAAAAAAAAAAAAAAAGTGATCTAAAAAAAGTATCTTAATTGCTTGCAATAATATTTGTAAGGGAAAACACTTGTGATAAGGTAATTATGAACTGGACAGGTTCTAAGCATAAAGCAGTTCAAAGTCAAGGTCATTTCCTAGGTAATAAGGAAAGCAGCTCAAACAAATAGAGAAAAGCAGTCTATTTGGCAAAATGTGCTCTTGCAAAAAAACCCAATGAAATACATAAATCATGCTGAGTAAGAGAAAAAGCGACCTTCCTGCACAAAGTCACTGAAAAAATAACTAGTGTAATTCTACATCATCAGGAGATTATTAAAAGGCACATAGAGACTATAAATTATTTTGGTATTTGGCAATGATGCACAGTTTTAAATAAAACAGTTAACTCTGATAATAGATTTGATGATGCAAAGAAATTGGAGAGGTAGAAGGCAAGAACCAGAGGAATTCCAAATAGCTTGAGAGGTTTGTGTAGTACTGTAACAGTTGCCAGGATTAAATCTATTTAGCTTTATTTTTAGACTTTTCAGGGATGATAAAGCACATCTTTAAGGTAGATTCCTTGGTAGAAGATGACTAAATCTTACATTCAGACACATTCAGGCTATAGACACAAGACAAGATTTTAAACTTTTGCGGTATGACACACCATAACTGGATTGTTTTTTTTTTAAATTGCTTTTAATAGTAATGTATCTGTTATGTATATTTTAATGTAATAGGACTGTACATCGTAAGGCCTTGAGACCTTACAGTATATAGATACTTCTATTTTTAATCTTTATTTAGAGTAAGATCATCTTATTCCATGAATGAAAATTTAGTTTAGTTCTAAATGCAGTGTTGCTAAAATGCTTAGGGTATTTTTAATGCTAGTTAGCAGTACAATATGTAGGGATATTCATATAAATGAGATTAGCCCAACACAAGTATCCTCATTCAACAGAGCAAGAATAGAGGCACACAAAGATTTGGGGGTGATTAATTTTGTTTTAGTGATTTGAAATGCCTAAACATCCTTTTTTAAAAGTATTTGTATGTAATTTATCTGCTCAAAGTATCTTCTTGACCAGCTTCAACCTTAGATGTAAATGATCAGCATTTTAACACATTGTAATTTTACTAAAGAAGATGAGATGCACCTAACGCCTGATCAGTAGTGTTAATTTGGTGTTAGTTTGTGCACATGACACATCTAGGATTACGTTGCACCTCTGTTTCAGGAGAAGTATCATTCACCACTAGATAGTGAGATTACATTTTTCCTCCTGTAACCAATGAACTCATTCCCTGAATATCTTCCAGCATAGAAGACAACACAAAGCCAAGTCAAGAGATAACAGAATCTTTATTTCTGACTTTCTGGTCTTTGAATTTGAAATTTTATTTTAAAGGAGGAAATTAAAAACCATTTGTTGGGGAAAACCCAGAAATTCACATGGTTCATTATAGCCTAGTTTCACTTAATCCTTCATTGGGACCCTTAAAATTCAGAATAATATACTCATTACTGGAGACAAAACAAAATCTTTGGATGATTTAGAGGAGATTCAGCATTAGATACCTGTTGAAAGCAAGACACTACTGAATTCAACTTCAGGTTTTATAGGGAAATATGCTAAACAATAATTGTTCTCTTTTATTTGATCTCTTCTTTCTGTTCCTTCTAATTTGTCCTGTTGTAGTCCCACATTCTCTTCTCAGGACCTTTCTTTGCTTTCTTTCCTTCCACTTTGCAATTCAGAATTCAGAAAGAAAATTTTCACCTCTTCTTCGAGTCAAAGAATAGACTGTTTGTTTTACAATTCCAGTCTTGCAAACCATGCCTAGTGCTAAAATAAAGCAGGCTGGAGGATTTTCTCCAGCAAAGAACACAGTAAAACTCCTATTCATACAAATAAATTTTCTTTCCTTGAAAATGTTATTACCATCATCCATACTGCCTCACTGGGACACTACATGACACATGCCATCTCCTGATTTGGTCTGAGTCATTGTTTAAGAGGACTGTACCTGAAATTGTCCAAAACTGACACAGAGAGTAAACAGCCAGTATAGACAATTTGGAACAAGTCAAAACATCACCAGGGACCACATCAGCAAACAATATAGGCAACTATGGGCCAATGCTGAACTGTGCTATGTCTGTGTTTTATTTTCTAGTATAGATGAAGTCACATAGACCTATGAATGATGGATCTCACCATAAATGAACAAAAAGGACACCAATATACATTAACTACATGAAATTATTTAAATTAGAGTGTTTCCAATTATCCCTACAAGTGCTGGTAATGGCAGAAGCAGATGTCTGGCTGTACAGAGAATGCGTTAGTTGAGAAAAACTCAACAGAAAGTTGCAAATCCCTTGAACACAAAAATCACCAAAGGAATCTCTTTCTATCATTTCTCAGAGAAGAAATGAAGGCAGAGTTCATGGAAGATTACATCTGAGCACTTTCTCTCAGAAAAAGAGGGGATATATATATTCATGTCATTGAGAAGACTGAGGACATGCAACAGGTCAGTGATGTGGGAAATAATTCCATTAGTAGTTCTTATAATGGATGATTTCAATGTATTTTCCTGATGTGCAAATTCCCTTCTCAAAGCAGAAATCCCAGACATCTGTAATGCTGGTAGATGACCATCAAGCAAACAGATACATTTATGACTCTAGGGAGAAGACTCCAAAAACAAGTAGTTATGATCCAGTTATTAAAATTATTAGAGGTGCCTCTGCCTGAATTAAGATGCAAATGAGACCAGATGCCAAAGTCAATAGTACAGATTTTATTTAACAGTAAATGTGAGACAGAGAGAGATAGAAAGAAATAGGAAAAAGCAGAGTGGGAAAAAAGAGAGTGACAGAAATTAAATAGAAAAAGTATCACAACTCCATGGAACCTGGCAGCATCCTGTGGGTCTGGTTCTTCTGATCTTCTCAGTGGTGAGGGTCCTGAAAAACATAGGGTCCAGTGGATTAAAATAGATTCAGGAGATGTCCAGGCACCTCCATTGGGAGCATAGTTTTACACTCTCTT